AAAAACCCTTCCAGGGTATCTCTCTTTCTATGACCCTTTAATTTTCATTTTTTCAGGATTTCTCTTGGCCCTGTAAAGGTAGTCTTTTTAAATAGTGTTACGATATATGCAAACTAATTTCCATCATCTGTATCAAATAAGATGTAATTTGTTAGTTAGTTATTGAACCTAAAGTGTCTTTATCCAAAAACTGATGCTGTATCTTCCGATGCAGTGTGTTTCTAAAATAGCAGGTCTTGGTGAATTTGCACATACAAGAATTTCTTATATTCATTTCAAGACTCTGATTGTCACATTTCTCTATTTCCTAAGGACATTCAAAACAAAACATACCTTCCTTTTACACAATTGTTGTTATTTTTATAAAGCCAGACTTCAGTCATAATAAAGAAGACATCAGGCCCCTTTCTCTTGCAAGCGGAAATTACCCTAGCTATAATCATGAACTTACTGAGAGGAAACTTTTATCCCTTATAAGGTAATAATAATCTTTCAAGTATTTCCTCCACATGGTCTTTTCGTCTGAAAGCAAATGCTCATTTTTAAAAAATAAAGGGTGGTGGGGGATTGTTTCATTTTGCAATGGGGATCTACTGGAATGTGCATCATAGTTAAATTACCAGAAATCTGTGGTAAAGGAATGCTTTAAATAAATGCCTTAATTCTGCAGGAAAATAATAATAATAATAATAATAAGATAATTTCAACCTATCACAGCCAGAAATTATGGTGTCAGGAAAATAATAATAATAATAATAATAATAATAAGATAATTTCAACCTATCACAGCCAGAAATTATGGTGTCAACATTTTTATCTAACTTTATAGCTTATTAGGTCTCAGTAATTTCTTAAAACTGTATTTAGTATTTTGAACTGCCGTTCTCTAATGACAGAGAAACATTCTCAAAATGTACTTAAAAATGTTGATGACTCAGTAGATATATGTAATAAACACATCTTTTGTCCTTGAAGAATAAAAATAAAAATAAAAAATCCCCTCCAAAAAAAAAGAATATACAAATTAAGTTTAGTCGATACTTAAGCTTTTTCATAAATCTCAAATCCATCACATTTAGTTGCACTACATTTCAGGAGGACATTCACAATAGAAATAGAAAAAAGATATTTGAGCTACGCCTCTATTTGTTTTAATGTCTATTGTATTTTTGAAATGAATGTCTTCAGGAATCAGAAATATCAGAAAAATAATTTTTAGCAAAGATTAAAGCACATCCATTCTTTTAATTTTCCCAAGTCCTGGTCTTGGAATTTTCTATTACTATAGCATATTATGTTCATTTAAATTAAAAAGAACATACCTTATCTACATTTGGCCAACTATTTCTCCTCTTTAAACACGTATCTATTTTTGTTATTTTCTGCAATAAAATAGATAATAAAAGTAGATTCTACAAAAATAGTACTGTTGCAGTATGAATTAATGTAGTTAGTTATTTCTGTAAGAAAATCTACCACTATCTCAAGTATTGAAAATTAGCTTTTCAATCTATTTTTAATTTAGTTTATACATTTTCAAGGTTCTTGGCTCTCCATGGTCTAGGTGTGCATATGAAGTTTAGTTAAACTACTTCCTGCTTAGACTATATTTGATTAAGGAGTCAATATATACATTTATTAAAGCATTACAATATACATTAAATAGAAATGGGCAGTTATGGCTTTTTACTTGTACTCAGAACAACCATCAATAGCACAGCTGTTTATTAGAGAAAATGTGTGGGTGCATGTACAATTCTTTAAAAAACTGAAAACTATGCACAGATATTTCAGAGGATACTCATATTCACATATTAAAATATTGAATAGGATTTCTTAAACTAGGATAAAAGGAAAGTTTTTAGATTTGTTAGAAAATTCTGCAGCTCTTGTAGGGAGTGATATCATGGAGCAGAAAGGAGGTTCAGTAAAGGAATCAGACACATTCCAATCAGTACTTTTGAAAGTCTTGCTTTTTAAAAGTTATATCACTAAACCTAACTTTTTCATCTTACTGTGTATTCCTTCCCTACCTGTAGTCATTGTAATTCATTACAAATTTTATGAATACAGATGTTTAGATGTACTCAGACATTATATTAATACATCATATTCACAATTCTGCTCTCCTTTTTGTGATCACTCTATTTTGACTTTAAGATTTTTTTCCTGAGGACTTCAGCGAAAAGTAGGTGATGCCAAAACCTGAAGACATTTGTATAGCATATTCTAAAATGAACGTTTAAAATTGATAAGAAAGGACACCTGGTAAAACCTTTGACATATATTTGAATGGTATCTTTGACAAAGCAGTTCCCCTTAAACCTCTGAGACACTAATGACATTTGGCAGCCTCAGAATATACCCAGGATCCACAACCATGTGATGACACTATGCAAGATACTTTTGTAAAAAGGGACTCTAAATCCATGCTACCATTCAGTAGTAAAAACAATGTTTGAATGCTAAAGCTTCTTATTTTTGCTTATCTGTCCTAAGCAAGGAAGAGGTAATTTTGTTATTATTGCCATATAGTTACCATTTAAATATTGCTATTAAATAGTTTCTACAAATGCTTTGGAAAAAGGTGCAGTATCAGCTATAGCTGGGAATCATAGATTCTAACCTTGGCTACCTGTGTGACTTTGAACGATAATTTATTTCCTTGCCTCACTTGTTTTACTCTGAGATCAATATTTTGATTTGGCTTCATTAGTCCTTGTTTAACCAAATAAGATAGTTTGATTATCTTATTCAAGGGTTATTCAGATAAGTTTGCAATTTCAAGAACTATTTACTCATACTGTTATACATAGTGTGTTATTAAGTACTATCTTCTTCCTAAGCAGAAATTCATGAGTATCACCATTTAAATGACATACCAAGAATGATGAAATTTTCCTACAGAAAATTAAGGTATAAGTTCAAATGCACAGTTGAAAAACACTACCATCTATCTCATTCACCTATTATCCTAGCAGTGGTGATAATCTAACCCAAAATAGTGGATTAATATGTAATATTCCAAAACTAAAGTTTAAAGCAATAGAATCAGAGATACCCTATTTGAATTCAATGCAGGCATAGCAGTGTCAGGTGAAATAGACACAATCTTTGGACTGGAAGGGAGAATATTATCCCCATTTTTTCCCTGCATAATAAAATCATTACACAAAAACATTGTACTTGTCGAGTGAATGTAACATCTCTCTCATGTCATTTTTTGAATAGTGAAATAGACACAATCTTTGGACTGGAAGGGAGAATATTATCCCCATTTTTTCCCTGCATAATAAAATCGTTACACAAAAACATTGTACTTGTCGAGTGAATGTAACATCTCTCTCATGTCATTTTTTGAATTTTGTGTCTGACTTTTACTACAAAACTATCATAGTAAATTGAATTAGCATCAAGTGATCTATTAAAAATAGAATTAATCATTAAAATACATGCTATCATTTTTATTACTTTACCATTTAGAGGGAAAGCAAGGCTGTAATAATAAAGGTTTAATATTATTTTCAAAAACAAAAACCCAATAGAGAAACCCACCTCCCAATCCTGGTCTCAGGCGATTGTCATAACCATCTAGGAGTCGGTCCAAAATCCTGGTGAAGACAGTGGTATTGTCTTTAAGTTCATCCTGTAGTGAGGGCTGTCCATAGCTGAACAAAGCATAAAGACAGTCAGTGGCTGAATTATACATTTCTAATAAAATCTCTTTTCAAATAAAAACTTTCCCAGATTTTTCATACTTTCCTTTCCATTGACTCTTAACTTAAAAATTCTTTCTTGTAAAGGAAAAACAAAAAGAAAGAAAGAAAGAAAGAAAAGTTCTCATGTTTGTCCTCATTTATGATAAGCTCTTTTTTTCCCAGATTTTTCATACTTTCCTTTCCATTGACTATTAACTTAAAAATTCTTTCTTGTAAAGGAAAAACAAAAAGAAAGAAAGAAAGAAAGAAAGAAAAGTTCTCATGTTTGTCCTCATTTATGATAAGCTCTTTTTCTAATATTTCTAAATATGAAAGAAAATTTATAGGAAATGAGTCTGACTCCTTTTAAAATTCTCAACATGCATATTATGTTGTAATACATGTCTTCTCTGAGCAACAAAGAGTGTTACTGCATGCTAAAATACCTCTGAGAAATTTCTTCCCAAATTAGAATATATATATATACATATGCTACCAAAATAATTAATAGTTTTGTTTCACTTAATTTAACACAGAGAAAAAGTACACATTGTTACCTATCAACATCTTTTCCTTCATTCATACACACATATATTTTGCTTTTTTGGTGCACTTTTAAGATATTTAGATGAGAAACATAGATAAAACATTTCTTAGGATAATTATATTTTAATATCAGTGTGTAAATTTCCATTTCCCTTAACATTTAGAGCTAATTTTTGAATTTTTGTCATTTCTGGTTTATATGTGAAAGAGACCTTGGAAAAGATCAAGTTCAATATTCTGAATTCATGGTTTACTAAACTTCAGCACACTTTAAGTGTTTTATTTAGAAAACACTGCTCTTTGTGAGCAAATCTTGATGTAGAACCCAGCTTTTTTCAACTTTTAGTCTAAAACTTCATTTCCATTCTTCTATATAGGAATGCTTATTTCTATTTGAATCTTATTAGTTATAACATGTCATTGAGTTTCAACCACACAGTGACCACAGTTCAAATATTGTATAGTTCTTACATCAATCACATTGCTATTTACGCATCTTGAATCACATTTTATATAATCATTAGCATTATGTTTCCAAAGTCCTTTGAGAGAACTCTTTTCCATCCTAGGATGGATCCCACTTACAGATGTACTTCAATGATAGCTCTGACCTTGAGTAAAAAAACAAAAATAAATATAGGGTGTAAAATAAAAACCTGCCACAAATCTACCTCTTTCACACTTTCTATTTAATATGCCTTTGATTTCACTCTTGTGTGCTTACATTACTTATAAGTATTTATAAAAATAATATTTGAAACCAGAATTCACTTATCTGACAGAAGCAAGAAATGTAATCAAAGTATCATTTCTAAAACATTGTTTTACAGGGAATTAATTTTATAACAGAAAAAATGCAATGGCCATTTTTCTGATAAAGTTTAATTTAATAAAGCTATTATAAGTAAAAGCTATCTGTGATATTAAATATGTGAAATATGCCTCGATGAAACAATTTTTCCTTCTCCTAAATTCGACATTAATGTCACACAGATGGAGGGCTCACTCTCCTTTGGCAAAACTAAACATCTTGCTGGTTTTTTAAATCAAATTTTCAGTGAGATCTGTGTCTTCCAGTATGTCTCACTGGCAGATGACAGCAGTAAGGCAAAAATAGTTTCTTGACTGCAATTATTTATAAAAACTCATTGTCATAAAACCAACTGCCATGCATGCATCTTTCAAGGATATTGCAAGGTCATCTTGAAAAAAATGGAAAAGAAATGCTAATACACCTTAAGTTGTGGGAAGGGCCTGATCAAAAACTCTAAGGAAAGAAACAGTAAAATAAGGAGAGAAAAGGTAATACGGGGTGACATGACAGAGTAAGATTAGGTTAACACAATCCTTAGAATATGGAGTGTCACCTTTACCTGCATTCCCTATGTTTTCACGGATTATGTAAAATTCAGGAAATGCTTTCTCCCTGGTTTCATCCTGTAAATGTTGTTTTTACCAATTTGTTTGTATGGGAATAAAAACATCAAAAGACCTCCTCCCCGTCCCCAAGAAGACCAGCTCTGCTATCCCAATAGGAATGGAAATCTTTCTTTTATGTGATTTTTTCTAATCAAATCTTCTTCACATTTACTTATAATTTACTATGTCAAATTGTAATTGCCAGGGAACAACCTTAGGAAAACGATCAAGATTATTTATTTGGTATTAAACACTCATGCCAATGTAGTGTTTCCTAAACTGAATATAAATTTTGAAAAGAACTGTCAGTTTCAGTACCTGATTTTGATTCCATATGAACCACCATATAATAAAACACTGTGCACTAACTCCATCTACAGGTCATTACAATAGTAACACTTCATATAATTTTTCAAAAGCAGTGAAGATCATTTAACTCCTCAAATTAAAAGTATCTGACAATAATGCATGTTCTGTTCTTCTGGTGGTCAGTGTTTCCCATGCATAATAGCAAAAAATAACAATACACACCTTCTCAATTTAAAAAAAATTCTCCTAACTTCATGTCTTTCCAGACTATTCCACATCTCTACCTTAACTCATAACTGTTCACTTTCTATTACGTTTTGAAGAATAGTGTGTTTTTGTAATACATCTAAGACTTTCTTATGGGCCACAGGAACAGGCTACTTAAAAAATATATAAGCAGATAAAGAATCTAAAATACTTGCTCACTTCTATAGTTGCTACTATAATATGTTTGTGTGCTTGATTGGATCATTAGAAAGTATTTTGAATATGATTAAGCTCATTAAATTTTTCTCATTATTTGTCTTCATGGTAGCTATGCTTAGAGAAGTTTGATATTATCCAATGTTCTAAATATTTGTCTAATATATTCCACCTCTATTGATTATATAAATAATGGTTTCAAAACATCATATGCACATGTATTTATAGAGACTTACGACGTTCAAATTAGAAATATTATTTTAAACTTTCCATTTCCGTATACTAATGTTACTCTATGATCTTTACAACTGGCTAAAAAATTTCTTATTGGAAAATCACAGTATGCATACATCAATTGGTGTAACTTTTTCTATGAATTAGGAAAATGGATGTTTTTTTCAGTAACAACTGAACAGTGAAAAGTTAAATTTAAGCTTAAATGTTGAATTAATATATTCCTTTGTTAAGTGTGTTCTAACACTCAAATAAGTTGATTATTTTTTCATACTGCTCTTCTTTATTCTTAGCTGATATTTAACTGTAGTTAAGTTTTTATGAATTCCCTTAGTCATGAATTCATCCAAGGACAATTTTCTTCCCCCTAATGGGATAAATAAAAAGTTATAGAAATTCTCATGCAGATTTAAGATAAAGTGTCCCCACCTTCTTCCAGTCAATGTGCTCAGAAGGAGGGTCCACACCCAAAGATAGTCAGAGAGACCCGGGCTTTTCTTCATCGCGGGCTTGAGCAGCTGAAAAGTAGAATAAGTAGAGATCAATGTCTCTTGCAAGAAACATCAG